TATTTGCTGCAATGGAATGAACACTGCCCAGGAATTTATAAGGCTTGAGGTCTAGTTCCAGCTTTGCCACTGATTAGCCATGTCACCTCTTTCAGCCTTACTCCACTCATCCAAAAGAATTTAAAACTAGAAGGAGCTTTGGACATAAGGTTTCTCAACGTTTAAAATGGGCTTCATATCCCCACCTCAAAGGGGATTTCTTAGTGACACTTTCTGAAATTTTCACTATGAAAACAATGTCATAATTGTGCTTTCTCAAAATAACATCTTATTCTTTTCCATTTTGATATGAGTCTTCCCTCCCAGTTAAACCTGCATGCTCAGGTAGTTGAGACCCATTGATCTAGACCAGTCACAATTATTCTGGTCACCCTACTACATGTTTTTTTTAATATTTTTAGTTATAGATTGACATGATACCTTTATTTTACTCATTTATTTTTATGTAGTGCTGAGGCTCAAACCCAGAGCCCAACACATACTAGGCAAGTGCTCTACCACTGCTACAGCCCCAACCCTGCTATATGTTTTTGATCCTGTCATTGCCTCTCATTCTTTCCTTACCTCTGGCTACCCCTAGCTGTCCTTTTCTTTTTTGATTGAATCCATCTTTACTTATCTCATTACTTTATAGAACTGACTAGTATTGCTTCCTGCCCATCCTGTTGGACTTTGCTAATTTAAACTTTTTAAAGTTGACCTCTATGTATCTCACCTCCTCATCTACCATCCTTGCTAGATTAAGTCAATCTCTTGGTCTGTCCTTCCCAGTGAGGCTTCAACTGCATCACTCCTTCTCCCTTATCTGCAGGAAATATGTTCCAAGACTCCCAATAGATTCTTGCAGCTGTGGATAATACCAAAATACTTATTTTACTATATTTTATCCTATACATACAGACTAAAGCAGTGTTTTCTCCATCTTAACCAAGCACTTATCACATGCCGTAGCCATAACTTATAGTTTGATGTTTGACAGCAAAACTAGTATTCTAGTCACCTATTTTGCTTCCTTGATCAAAAGGCCTGACGAGGACCAGTTTAAAGGGTGAATACTTTATTGGAGGCTCATAGTTTTGGAGGTCTGAGTTCATATATGGCTGACCCCATTGCTCTAGGCCCAAGATGAGGCAGAACATCAAGCAGAAAGATGGGGAGGAGGAAAGCAACTCCAAACATGCCAATCAGGAAGCAGAGAACTCTACTCACCACGGACACAATATATACCCCAGAGGCACGTCTCTAGTGTCCTCCCTTCTCCAGCCACATTCTACATGACTACCACCCAGTTAATTCATTCAAATGGATTAATGCATTGATTATGTTAAGGA